GGAGGTTTCAACAGATGCCCCTGTTTTGCAGCACGGCCCCGTGTGGGGATGGCGCCCTCTTTGACAAGTCCTGCAGTGACCGCGCTGTGGAGAGCACAGACTCCCGCCACTACCCTGTCTTTGAGAATCCCAAGCAGGGCAAGCTCCGCACCAAAGTGGAGAACGGTGAGTGACACGCCCGCCCTCTCCCGCAAAAAGGCTCTCAAAGCCCCAGGCCCATCACAGGGCCAGGACACAGCAGCTGGGTGTGTGCCGTTAGCTGCTGGGGTATGAGGCTGTTGTTTACAGGGAGAGGGGAGATCTGGGGAGGGGGAGATCTGTAGGAAGATCAAGATTCCATCTTGAACTTGGTAGATGGGGGAAGGCTCCGCATCAAAGAGGAGGCAGAGGGACCATCCAGAGCTCAGAGGACAGCACCTGGCTGGAAATGAATGCTGGGGAGTCATCCCCCTATGGTTGATCTTCACAGCCATGGAGTGGGTAGGACCTCCTCAGGGAAGGTTGGAGAAAATGGAAAGGAAATGATGCAGAACCAAGCCCCGAGGAGTTGACAGGAGGACGCCAAGCACCAGTTCCCCTCCTGTCTAGTTGGCTGCAGATTCTGCTCCTTGTCTGCCAGCATCTCCTCCTCCACTGTCCTCTAATGTCTCCTGACTGGCTCCTCATGTCCACCCCTCCTCCCTTCAGGCCATTCCTATACAGCCATCAGAGTGACCCTCAAACGTAAATCAGATCACGTCACTGCCCTGCTCAAAACCCTGAAGTGTGTAGACACAGAGCTACCACATGGCCCAGCAGTTCACTCTGCAGTACATCCCCAAGAGAAATGAAGACATATATCCACACAAAAACCAATACATGACTGTTCGTAGCAACACTGTTGGTGATAGCCAAAGGCGGAGACGACCCAAATGTCCATCAGCTGATGGATGGAGAAACAAAACGAGATTTATCCATGCCATGGGGTATTGTTTGTTCATAGAAAGGGCTGAAGTCCCGACACATGCCACAACTTGGGTGAACCTGGAATATGTTCTAAGAAGTGAAAGAAGCCAGTCACAGAAGATCGCGTATTACGTGATTCCTTTTCTATGATATGTCCAGAATAGGCAAATCCATAGAAACAAAGTAAATTAGTGGCCAGCTGGGGCTGGCAGTGAGAGAGGTTGGGGGGAAATGGGGAGTGACTGCTAATGGATGGGAGGCTTCTTTTTGAAATGTTCTGAAATTGATTGTGGTGAGGGTTGCACAACTGTGAATATACCAAAAACCACTGAATTACATGCTTTAAATGGGTGGATTATATATCAATGAAGCTGTTACTAAAAACAGAAAGCCCCCTACTCTAAGTGGTTTCCCACCGCCCTTCACAGAAAAGCAAAACCTGCTACTTACCCATGCTTCAGCCACACTGGCTCTTTGTCAGCTCCCTCAGTCACCAACCCCTTTGCTGCCTCAGGACCTTTGCTTTTGCTGTTCTCTGTGTCTGAAATAGCCTGCTCAGCTGTTCCTTCTCCTCCTTCATGTCTCAGCTCCCCTGACAGTCCTGTCCCAGGAGGTTCCCCTGGCTGTCCTCCATCAGAGCTCCCTCAAAGCCATCTAGAATTCCTGTGTATGTGTTGGTTTACTCGCTTAGTGTCTGTTCCATTCCCTTTCTATCCCCTCACCCCCATAAACGTTCTAGGAGGGCAAGGATCTTACCTGGTTTTGGTCACGTAGTAGGTACTGTGAAATATCTAAAGAACGAATAAGTAGCCTCTGGCCCAAGTTTAAGGAGCAGAAGCACCATGTCAGCGAGTGGCTTGGTCCAGGGGCCCCTGTAGGTCTGACCCAATTCTCTTACCCAGGAGAAGGCACGATCCCAGTGGAGTCCAGTGACATCGTGCCTACGTGGGACGGCATTCGCCTCGGGGAGAGACTCCGAACCATGTCCTGTAGTGACAAAATCCTACGCTGGAACGTGCTGGGCCTGCAGGGGGCGCTGTTGACCCACTTCCTGCAGCCTGTGTATCTCAAATCAGTCACGCTGGGTAAGGACCTGTCTTGGGAGCTGGAACCTGACTGTCATTCTGGTGCCCAGATCCCAGCCAACTGCATGCTTCATTGCCCGGTGTTAACGTGATGTTTCCCTTTTTAAAGTGTGTTCGATTCAGTGGTTAGTAATTGATTCTGAGTGTCTAGTCTGCTGAGATGGGAAGACTGGCTTAGGCAGAAGCCTAAGTAACAGCCTGGCAGGCAGATCTTCTCAAGATGAGTTAGAGAAACCCAGTGTCTGAGTGTCCTTGTTCTCCTCGGCCCTTGGCCTTACCTGAACCTTACACGTTGTGCTTAAATGTTTCATGCCCCCGCGTGTATCCTGGGCAGCCCCAGTCCGGAGGTGCTTCCTGATTAGGGAGCCGGTTCTGTCCTAACAGCTGTCTGTACAGTCTCACTCCCCACGTGCTCCTGCTGCTGAACAGCATTTGGGGCGAACACGGGCATGTGCTTTTCTTTGTCATTTCCAGGTTACCTTTTCAGCCAAGGGCATCTGACCCGGGCCATTTGCTGTCGTGTGACAAGAGATGGGAGTGCATTTGAGGATGGACTACGACACCCCTTTATCGTCAACCACCCCAAGGTGCTACAGGCCCTTCCGTTTCTCCCTTGACATTTTCTCCTTTTCAAGGACTCCTGTCAGTAGAGCAAAAACGTACAGTGTGGGCGAGGGGAGTCTTAGTCGGTGTCCGCAAAACTTTTCCTTTCCTCCTTTTAAATGCCAGAGGCTTTCCGTCCTTTGGTCTGGAATTCATTTGAATTGAGGTAGGGTTAGTACCTCTGAGTCTTAGTCAAACGGAATCCTACATAAGGGGGAAAGATCACGACCCCACACTCCTTCTTTCCTATGAGTCTTGAGTTCGTACTTCAGGATCTTCTCCCTGAAAGATTTCCATCTTTCTCCCATCGCTCCCGGAACTCCTAGGTTGGCCGAGTCAGCGTATATGATTCCAAGAGGCAGTCCGGGAAGACCAAGGAGACAAGCGTCAACTGGTGTTTGGCCGACGGCTATGACCTGGAGATCCTGGATGGGACCAGAGGCACCGTGGATGGGTAAGGAGTTGGGGGCACAGCGAAAGCAGGGCCAGGCATGCTAGCCGGACTCCCGAGGGGCATCAGCCCACCCACTGTGTGTCCCCACCCAAGGCCCCCCCCCGCCCAACCTGTTCTGTCCCAGGTGAGCAGTGAGTGCTTTCGTTTCTCCAGGCCACGGAATGAATTGTCCCGGGTCTCCAAAAAGAACATTTTTCTTCTATTTAAGAAGCTCTGCTCCTTCCGGTACCGCAGGGATCTACTTAGACTCTCCTATGGTGAGGCCAAGAAAGCTGCCCGTGACTACGAGACAGCGAAGAACTACTTACAAAAAAAGTCTGAAGGACATGGGCTATGGGAACTGGATAAGCAAACCCCAGGAGGAAAAGAATTTCTATCTCTGCCCAGTGTAGTGTGAGCCGGTGACTGGCGGGTCGAGGTGTTTCACACTGGGA